GAATTATTTACATATAATGTATATGCCTGATGAAATCTTCCACACTTTGGTCATTGTTCTATCAAATATAGAGAATCATGCAGAAGGGATTTTATAGGGAGTTTTTAATCCATTGGTTTTCATTTGCTCTGCATTGGATTTGGATCAGTGGTTGAGGAGAGACCTGAAATGATATCAGGGACTATTTCAGAACAATCAGGATTGGGAACCACTACATGTATAATCATGGTAAATTAGCAATGGAGTCCATGTGTCAGTGTATTACAGTACCATGTCGACATGGTCTTATTAATCCACAGAGACAACAAATATTTAGATAGAGTCAAAGAGCTTTGTTGGCTCACACTCAGGTATACACATTTTTCACCTGTATTAAAAACTTTTCTCTAACACTTAATCCACACATGCTGTGGGGTAAAATCTAACTGTTAATTCTTGCCTGCTGTGCAATACAGCAAGCTACAGGTATAAAACCACACCTGAATTCAGCCATACAATACATTTCCTATATACTTCACACGCACTACAGATGACCACACATATCACAGTTGTGCTTAATTGAGAGAAAAATATCCTCCAATACACATACATCCCATGATAATCTATCATTCACATATGGTAATTACTAGGTGCTAGATAAAGGTCAAACATAACATGTGACCTAGCTTTTTAAGGAATTTAATTTTGAAAGATGAACCAGAGCTACAGGTTTCTCCTGTAACTACTGTTGTACTCTAAGACCTGGGGATATTTTTTATGATAATATGGCAGTAGTGAACATGAGGCTCAACATCAGGGGGCGTCAATAATGTTTGACCAGAACTATTAGATGCCATACTCAAAATTTTTTACTTAAAAGTTTCATATCAATTTTTTTATTTTCAAGGCTGACCAGGACAAGAAAAGCAAATTGGATTAAAATATACTGGTATGCAAAGTTATTTCCAATCTCCCAAGCACAGAGAAAAGTTTGAAGAGAAAAGTGTTGTCAACTTTATGACAAAAGCATATCTTTAAAGATTCAATCTCTAGACTTGTTTTCTTCTGTACCATATCCTAACTGAAGCCTGCATCCTGTAGTAAACCTCATGGTTTTATTGGCACATACATGTAAGTGTGAAAAGCTCATATTGATTAATTGAGATGTGTCAGATGAATCAGACATGAGCAAACCAGATCTGTCCCACCATTACATAATATCAAAGAACAGGTAATATACAGCTTAATGGTGTAAAATAGTGTAAAATATCGCCATCATTGATAACCACACTGGCCACCATTGTGGATTACCACTGTAGATTATCAGACTGCAGACCATTGTGGATTACCACTGTAGATTATCAGACTGCAGACCATTGAGGATTATCACATTGGAGACCATTGTGGATTACCACTGTAGATTACCACACTAGAGACCATTGTGGATTACCACTGTAGATTATCAGACTGGAAACCATTGTGGATTACCACTGTAGATTATCAGACTGTAGACCATTGAGGATTACCACTGTAGATTATCAGACTGGAGACCATTGTGGATTACCACTGTAGATTATCATACTGTAGACCATTGAGGATTACCACTGTAGATTATCAGACTGGAGACCATTGTGGATTACCACTGTAGATTATCATACTGTAGACCATTGTGGATTACCACTGTAGATTATCATACTGTAGACCATTGAGGATTACCACTGTAGATTATCAGACTGGAGACCATTGTGGATTACCACTGTAGATTATCATACTGTAGACCATTGTGGATTACCACTGTAGATTATCATACTGTAGACCATTGAGGATTACCACTGTAGATTATCAGACTGGAGACCATTGTGGATTACCACTGTAGATTATCAGACTGGAGACCATTGTGGATTACCACTGTAGATTATCATACTGTAGACCATTGAGGATTACCACTGTAGATTATCAGACTGGAGACCATTGTGGATTACCACTGTAGATTATCATACTGTAGACCATTGAGGATTACCACTGTAGATTATCAGACTGGAGACCATTGTGGATTACCACTGTAGATTATCAGACTGGAGACCATTGTGGATTACCACTGTAGATTATCATATTGTAGACTATTATGGATTACCACTGTAGATTATCAGACTGGAGACCATGGTGGATTATCAGACTGGAGACCATTGTGGATTACCACTGTAGATCATCAGACTGGAGACCATTGTGGATTACTACTATAGATTATCACACTGGTGACCATTGTGGATTATCACACTAGAGACCATTGTGGATTAACACACTTTAGACAAAGAGACCAGAGTTTGACTCAAGTCATATGCCAAAATACCTAGCTTATTTACAATATCAGATAATGGAAATGATTTTACTCAAAACTAAATGTAACCATAATATACTCAATTCAAACTACTATATTTAACTTCTATAAAAAAACAAAAACCATTGCAGATTTGTCTCTCTAGCACACATGTAAATCTTATATTAACAAGTCCCCAACCAACAGGTGTCCCCTCAAAATAACCTGTACATCTTATATTAACAGGTGTCTCCCTCAATGATATGAACAGGTGCCCCCCCTCTCCTTCAATGTACCTGTACATATGATATCAACAGGTGCCCCCCTCAATGTGCCTGTAAATCTTATATCAACAGGTGTCCTCCTCCATGTACCTGTACATCTAATATCAACAGGTGTCCCCCTCAATGTACCTGTACATCTTATATCAACAGATGCTCACCCTCCTCAATGTACTGGTTCATCTTATATCAACAGGTGTCCCCCTCCATGTACCTGTAAATCTTATATCAACAGGTGTCCCTCACCTCAATGTACTGGTTCATCTTATATCAACAGGTGTCCCCCTCCATGTAACTGTAAATCTTATATCAACAGGTGTCCCCCTCCATGTACCTGTAAATCTTATATCAACAGGTGTCCCTCACCTCAATGTACTGGTTCATCTTATATCAACAGGTGTCCCCCTCAATGTAACTGTAAATCTTATATCAACAGGTGTCCCCCTCCATGTACCTGTAAATCTTATATCAACAGGTGTCCCTCACCTCAATGTACCTGTACATCTAATATCAACAGGTGTCCCCTTCAATGTACCTGTGCATCTTATATCAACAGATGCTCACCCTCCTCAATGTACTGGTTCATCTTATATCAACAGGTGTCCCCCTCAATGTAACTGTAAATCTTATATCAACAGGTGTCCCTCACCTCAATGTACTGGTTCATCTTATATCAACAGGTGTCCCCCTCAATGTAACTGTAAATCTTATATCAACAGGTGCCCCCCTCCATGTACCTGTAAATCTTATATCAACAGGTGTCCCTCACCTCAATGTACTGGTTCATCTTAAATCAACAGGTGTCCCCCTCAATGTAACTGTAAATCTTATATCAACAGGTGCCCCCCTCCATGTACCTGTAAATCTTATATCAACAGGTGTCCCTCACCTCAATGTACCTGTACATCTAATATCAACAGGTGCCCCCCTCAATGTACCTGTAAATCTTATATCAACAGATATTCACCCTCCTCAATGTACCGGTTCATCTTATATCAACAGGTGTCCCTCCATCAATGTACCTGTACATCTTACATCAACAGGTGTTCCCCCTCAATGTGCCTGTACATATGATATCAACAGGCGCCCCCCTTAATGTACCTGTACATCTAATATCAACAGGTGCCCCCCACTCAATGTACCTGTACATATGATATCAACAGGTGCCCCCCTCAATGTACCTGTACATATGATATCAACAGGTGCCCCCCACCTTCAATGTACCTGTACATATGATATCAACAGGTCCCCCCTCCCACCTTCAATGTACCTGTACATATGATATCAACAGGTGTCTTTTTAATGTTTAGCATTAGATACTTGTATACATATCTTTTTGTTTTTGTGAATGTAATCATGGCATATACAGATAAATTTCATGCAATATCAATATCCTGCCTACAATTATTTTGTTCATCAGTATATCAGGTTACGGTATGTTTGGTATTTAAACAAGAGATGTTTATAAGGCATGTATAATTTTCAAGAGATAATCCATTTAAAGATATTTGTAGGGTAAACCTTGTAATACACACACATAATTCAAAAGAACAAGCAAGGACCAAAATAACTACTTAAGTCTTTATAAACTCAGACAACGTTTCAAGAAGGTTCATTCCCATGTTTTTTTTTCATTTGAATGTAAAAAATTGCTAACATTGAAAGAATTTTTTTTTTTCAATCAACAATTTAAAACTGATTATAATATAAAAACTAAAACTAAATGATTAAAATTAACATTCTTAAACAAGGCTATAAAGGAAGTACAATGCTAATTATGGTATACAAGTCTAAATATGTATTAAGATTAGAAGTATGTGCATTACTCTTTCAATTTTTTTTATATTTGTTCACTGTACTAAATCTGCCCTATATCAACAAGTTAAATGATTAACAAGTTTTTCTCGAGTTTGCATGACTACATAATACTACACGTAGATGTATCTGATACTTGTCACCCCTGGTACCATGGGAGAGGCTAGAGGGTGTACTAAAATATACTATACAAAATATACCTAAGTTGCATTTGATAGAGTGCACTGGATGTAAAACACTCAACTTACATTAGGAAAATGTTTATTTCTTAGTCATACGAAGTTAAGGGTAACAACATCAATCAACTTTTCAAATTAAGCATTGATTTGTGAAAAAGGCACTCCCGGAAAAAAATTCACTGTTTGCAAACTTTTGTAAAAATCACTTACAGCATCACGTTTCTGTTGTGGAGTGCATTTAATTAAGTGGAACCCATCAGTTTGAAAGTTTTCTTTGCAATGTGATTCGCACTATAAGAATAGGCCTATGCATATCAGCACATGGACAGTTACCCCCTCTTGGACCCCTTTTAACAGAAAGTTATTTATCGTCTGCCAATTTTATTCAAACCACGAGGTGTTTGTAAATACAATCGATATCGGACTTACCCTGTTGTCACCCTCATCTATCCGAAAAGAATTTATATCCACGGAATTAGCATCAATCCCGAGAGACTGAAAACAATCACTGACATTTTCAACAATCTCAGCGGTCCCTTCCACGACTGTCCCATCGATGTCCGCCATGATGCTTCTTCAGGCTTACTATGTAAGGGTCGTGTGCAAAACTTTTACCTTTCCTCTATTTTCGTTTTGCGTTTTGCACCTGAGAACACCTGTCACTCCTTTTTTCCTCCTGTAACGTAGAAAACAATACGGAATTATATACTTTAAAGCAATTTAAGTGCAATATTGGGGTGGGATTTTTATAGCTTTGTTTCTCTTCATAAATAACAAGTATGAATACTGTACAATCTACTATACTTTTAAATAGGATCAGTACCCCTGCATGTGTATCAATACATCCAAAAGATATTTTTTAATCGATGATCTGATATAGGTTTCCACTCCTGAAAATTTTGAAAAGAGGGTGTGGGTGTTGGTGTGGGTGTGGATGACTGTGCGCGCGCGCATTTTTTTAAAAGTTTAAATGAAACACTTGAAATGAAAACGCATTTTGATATATAGATTTTTCAACAATTGTGACAAATACATTTAAGTAGACCGACAATTATTTCACAACGCAATAGAAACTATTTGAACTTTCAGTCAATTACGTGTACCGCTGGGTTCTTTTATACATGTGCCACGACAAACAATACTGGTAAGAAGGGAATTATATGTAGGTATTCATCACAGATAGATAATATTGAGACAGACTTATAACGGCACTATTTAAAGAAAAAAATAATTTTGACGCCAATATTCCACATACCTGTAGTTTATTAAATCAGACTTTGACAAACGTAAAACATGATGTAGATATGTATACATTTTATCAATCGGGATATAATTAAGTTAGATAGAGCTCTATATTTACAAACAAAAAAAAAACAAAAACAAAAACAAAAAAACAAAAAAAAAAAAAAAAAAAATCAAAACACACACACACGTGTACAGGGCACCTCCCTCCAACACACATTCATCACCGTCGTCGCTTCTAGATCTTTATCATCAGATATTGTTTGACGTCAGACAGTCTTTGTTAAGACGGTTTACTCCGGATATTATCACAATATTTAGTTTTACTATGCAACAGGAACGTACATAAAAACAGGTGCCCGCTGTCTGCCTGTTGCTGAAAATTGATCATTTCATGATTAATCGCAGATAAATTTGGCGAATGAAACTAAAACCTTAATAAAGATAGAAAATTTGCCCAGCAACACATGTCAGTGTAGAGATAGTGAGGAAACTGATAGTGTCCCTGTGAGAATGAGCTGTAATTAAACTAACGTTATCAGTATACGGAAGACGCGATGCCAGCAGATCCTATCTATCGTATCTTATCCCTGTTACGGCGGAATAATCACAGAATGTAGTATCAACTGTCAGAGACATACTCTATAGTGAGTTTCACCAAAATAAGAAATAAATACTTAAATTGTATGCAGATTTTAAAAAATCATTGATTCTTACGTGGATACCGAGTTCCCCCTCTAAAAGTTTATCTTTTGAGCTACAGTATTCTTCATACTAAGTATTTGGCATTCCATTCTGTTAATGAAATGATGATAACTGCTAAGACACTTCCCATAGGGCGTAACTCGTTCGTCAAGATATATGTCGGATATCAACTCATTATGATAACGATGGAGATGCTAATTGTATAAAGATAAAGATTTTTATATTGTATATACATGAATACCTACCCTTCCAATCATTTTTATGAGTGTATAAGCTTTCCAGTTGAGAGGACAAAAACACTTGGAAATATATAGGGTAACCAGGAAGACACCAATAGGAAAGGTCTTATGAGGACGATGTCGAGGCACACACCAACAGGAAGAGTCTAATGAGGACGATGTCGAGGGAGACATCAACAGGAAGGGTCATATGAAGATGGTGTCAATGGAGACAGCAGCAGGAAGGGTCATATGAGGTCGATGTCGAGGGAGACACCAACAGGAAGAGTCATATAAAGGCGATGTCGAGGGAGACACTAACAGCAAGGGTCATGTAAAGGCAATGTCGAGGGAGACATCAACAGGAAGGGTCATATAAAGGCGATGTCGAGGGAGACATCAACAGGAAGGGTCATATAAAGGCGATGTCGAGGGAGACACCAACAGGAAGGGTCATATAAAGGCGATGTCGAGGGAGACACCAACAGGAAGGGTCATATGAGGACGATGTCGAGGGAGACACCAACAGAAAGGGTTATATGAGGACGATGTCGATGGAGACATCAACAGGAAGGGTCATATAAAGGCCATGTCGAGGGAGACATCAACAGGAAGGGTCATATAAGGGCGGATGTCGAGGGAGACATCAACTGGAAGGGTCATATAAAGGCGATGTCGAGGAAGACACCAACAGGAAGGGTCATATAAGGACGGGTGTCAAGGAAGACACCAACAGGAAGGGTCATATGAGAACGGATGTTGAAGGGAGACACCAACATCAAGAGTAATATAAAGGCGATGTCGAGGGAGACACCAACAGAATGGGTAATATGAGGACGATGTCGATGGAGACATCAACAGGAAGGGTCATATAAGGGCGGATGTCAATGGAGACATCAACAGGAAGGGTCATATAAGGGCGGATGTCAATGGAGACACCAGCAAGAAGGGTAGTTTTAGAATGGATATCATGGGAGACACCAACAGGAAGGGTCATATAAAGACGGATGTCAAGGGAGACACCAACAGGAAGGGTCTCATAAAGACGGATGTCGAGGGAGACATCAACTGGAAGGGTAAAAATGAGGAAATGTTCCGACATGCTGTGAGATACAGCTTCTACACAGATGGAGACTTTAGTGCAGACGACAGAGGAGGACAGACAGCAGCACATAACACACGACATTGGAGGGAAACCGATACTAGAGGACAGACAGAGAACACGACATTAGAGGGCAAATTATACTAGAGGACAGACGGAGAACACGACATTAGAGGGGAAATGATACTAGAAGACAGACGGATAACACGATATTAGAGTAGAAATGATACCAGAAGACAGACGGATAACACGATATTAGAGGGATATGATACCAGAGGACAGACGGAGAACACGACATAAGAGGGGAAATGATAGTGGAAGACAGACGGATAACACGATATTAGAGGTAAATGATGCCAAAGGAGAGACGGAGAACACGACATTAAAGGGGAAATGATACCAAAGGACAGACGGACAACACGACATTAGAGGGGTATTGATACTGAAGGACAGACGGAGAACACGACAATAGAGGGGAAATGATACTAGAGGACAGAAGGAGAACACGACATTAGAGGGGAATTTGATACCAGAGGACAGACGGAAAACACGACATTAGAGGGGAAATGATACTAGAGGACAGACGGAGAACACGACATTAGAGGGGAATTTGATACCAGAGGACAGACGGAAAACACGACATTAGAGGGGTATTGATACTGAAGGACAGACGGAGAACACGACAGTAGAGGGGAAATGATACTGGAGAACAGACGGAGAACACGACATTAGAGGGGAATTTGATACCAGAGGACAGACGGAAAACACGACATTAGAGGGGAATTTGATACCAGAGGACAGACGGAGAGCACGACATTAGAGGGGAATTTGAGACCAGAGGACAGACGGAGAACACGACATTAGAGGGGAATTTGATACCAGAGGACAGACGGAGAACACGACATTAGAGGGGAATTTGATACCAGAGGACAGACGGAAAACACGACATTAGAGGGGAAATGATACTAGAGGACAGACGGAGAACACGACATTAGAGGGGAATTTGATACCAGAGGACAGACGGAAAACACGACATTAGAGGGGAAATGATACTAGAGGACAGACGGAGAACACGACATTAGAGGGGAAATTATACCAGAGGACAGACGGAGAACACGACATCAGAGGAGAAATGATACCCTAGAACACGACATTAGGGGGAAAGTTATACAAGGCGTCACGCCACTAGAACCAAGGCATGTGAGGAGAGAATGAAAGACACCTAAATAGGACTGGGAAATATTGGTCGGTTGGACAGACATCTCTAGACGAATAACTTTGCTATCACCGATATGTAACGTTTTTCAATGAAAAGCGTGAAAGACGGACGTCGCCAAAAGACCGACTTTATTTTGGATGAAAACAAGATGCCATACTGAGAGCCTGACGTCACTAAAGGAGAGATATAGAAGGAGAAAACACCTGCTGACGGTAGACGTCGCTGATAGTGGCCACAATTACGGGATATTTGTCTGGTACACGGAGCTGTTGTATACTCATTATACCGGGGTATAACAGTAGCATGCCACAGACACTCCTGTTTGTATCGGTGATTGAAATAACACTCAATTTACTGTGGGAAACAACAACGAGGGCCAAAAATAAAAGGTCAAGGCAACTAAGAATGTGGTTATTGACAAATACAACAATGACGACCTGACCACATTTACCTGGGTTTCCGGGGTATCCCACTGATCATTTAATCCAGTGTGACAACTTCAAGCAACTGTCAAAGTATGATATTTAATTAGAGGGATAATGATGGTGCGAGCGTGCGTAAATATTTGTATATAAGGACGATTTAGAATTTTATTCTGAATGGTGACGCATTATCAATCTAACACCGAGAAAAAATGTCTGAGATAATGTGTATTTTACATTGATATGTTTTTTTCTTCGTCTTGTTTTTTCTCTTCTATTTTTGGATTTGACAATCTAAAGAATCGTAACATTCAGATCAACACAGGAAGTTTATATAGACTCTTTGGACAAGGTTGTTAACATTCTAGGAATCAACCAATAATAAGACTTTCTGGACACAGTGTTTAGACTTCAAGGTCACGGTATCTTGACTTCATACACATTGTTTAGACTTCAAGGTCACGGTATCTCGACTTCATACACATTGTTTAGACTTCCTTGATAAGGTGTCTGGACTTAATCTGAGATAGATTTTAGACTTCCTGGACAAGGTTTCTGGACTTAATCTGAGATAGATTTTAGACTTCCTGGACAAGGTTTCTGGACTTAATCTGAGATAGTTTTTAGACTTCCTGGACAAGGTTTCTGGACTTAATCTG